GAGGAGAGGAGAGGAGAGGAGAGGAGAGGAGAGGAGAGGAGAGGAGAGTGTTTGCACTTTCTTACCTTTTTCAGTAGTGCTATCATGCCCTTGCACCATGCAGATGAGTAGTGAACTCTTTCTATCTTGAACATGTTGAGTATCTCATCAATGGGGGTAGCAGAATGAATTTCATAGGGCCTCTGGGATAAAGTTAAATTAATATCAAGTCAGCAAGAATGGATAAAAGTGTGTAGACAATTCACGTTTTCCTGAGTTCAGTGTTGTTTATGCTGGAAATAGCAAAAACACTAAAACATTTTACAACAATTTTGAAGCTAATCCTTCTTCGTGTGTATGCTTTTCTTTGGTTATAATGAATGTAATTACTCATAGATGCATTTCCTCTGCAAATTTTTCTGTCATAAAAACAAGTAACAGTTCAAATGAGATGGCTGAATAACTTTGTTCCTGGGGCCTTCTATGCAAGATGTGGATTATTTACTATATTTTACCTGTAGTACTAGAATGTTCTTGTGATATAAACTGACAAAATGGAAAAATGGTCTCTGATGGAGTTTTGTCATCCCGATTTTAATGGAGAGTAGATAAAGAAATTTAAAAATGCTTACAAAAATCTATGTAAGAATCACAGTAAAAATGTAGACTCCGAATACCAATCCTTTTCCTTTGCCCTTTCTGAAATCTAAAATTAACTCATTACATAGACCTATGGATTACATGGATCTGCTATCCTGCATTGCAGTGCCTAAATTCTTCTTATAGGTAAAGAGAAGCCTCAGGATTCACAGTGCTTTGTTCATGAAGATTACTGTGATTTATCTTTTATTAATGTAGCTTTTGGAAGTAAAAGTACTATATATAAATTTATATTCTTAATAAGTATTGTGCACTTATTTTTTAAAGACTTATATTTGTGATGCAAGTTGTTAGAATGACACCCTATGCTGACGTATTTTTTTTAGACAAGGATAGAGTGTGGATTTCTTGTGAATTAAGTTGTACCTAGCAGATGACAAATACATGATACGTGATGTGAGATCTGCAGCCAGATGCTATCATAGCAGCAATGCACACATTGACACATATAATTCATACACAACATAGAGTTACTTTCTAATCCAATATCCTCAACAGCAAAGGGCACGTACACAATCCTTTCATGAAGAACTGCATCATCTCTTGACTTTTGCTGGTGTGTACTGGTACAAGATAGTAATTTGTGAATATTTCTGGGTGTTAGCTATGGAATCTGATAGTGAATTAGAGCCACTTTTCATAAAGCCCCAGAAAATATTCTTATTTTGAGAAGATTCATGTACATGTTTAACTTTGAACGTGTGTATGAAATCAAGTCCATTCCAAGGCACTGAGATGTTCTAAAAATAAATCCAAGGATTGCTTAAATCTTTTTGCTTTGATTCACATTCAGTTAGTCTGTTGTCATTTAGTTATGTCATGTCCATATGAATTCAACAGGACCTAAATACATGCTCTCATTACTAGGTTCAAAACTATCATTTGAAATAGTCTCTCATATCACAGAATGGTAGGGGTTGGAAGGGACCTCAGGAGATCATCTAGTCCAACCCCCCTGCCAAAGCAGGTTCCCCATACCAGGGTGCACAGGAAAGCATCCAGGCAGGTCTTGAACATTTCCGGAGATGGAGACTCCACAACATCTCTGGGCAGCCTGTTCCAGTGCTCCGTCACCCTCACAGTAAAGAAATTTTCCCTTAGGTTTGTATAGAACTTTTGGTGTTCTAGTTTTTGCCCATTGCCCCTTGTCCTGTCACCAGGTACTACTGGAAAAAGCCCAGCTCCATCCATTTGTCGCCCACACTTCAGGTATTTATAGACATTGATAAGATCCCCTCTCAGTTTTCTCTTCTCTTCTCCAGGTTGAAGAGTCCCAGCTCTCCCAGCCTCTCCTTGTAAGGCAGATGTTTCGGGACCCTCATCATCTTTGTGGCCTCCACTGTACTCTTTCTAGAAGATCCCTGTCCCTCTTCAACTGAGGAGCCCAGAAGTGGACACACTATTCCAGATGTGGCCTCACCAGGGCAGAGTAGAGGTGGGGGGAGAATCTCCCTTGACCTGCTGGCCACGCTCTTTTTAATATGCTTTTCATATGCTTTTCCCTAACTGTCGTAAGGCTTCCATAAAACAGCTATTAAAAATGAAAGATTAACATTCTGTCTGTTGTCAAGAAGTAACCTACTGCTGATTTAGATTTGATGTAACAATGTGGCTAATGTGATAACTGAGACAGAATTTACAACAATTGTTGGAAATGCTGATTTAGCGTCTAAAAAAAAAGTAAAAAGTGAGAATAAAAACAAGAAAGTTTTTCTGTTAAAGATGCTTCTGCATATGCTTTTTTCCTCACTGGAAAAATCCTTTAGAAACTTACCTTATTTTAAAGTTTATTAGCATTCTGCAGTCTTATTTGTTTGTTTGTTGGGGTTTTTTTTTAATTTGCAGATATTTTTAATATTGTTCTTAGTTAATTTGAACTATAAATACTTACAGAAGTGGCCATTATAAGCTTAGTCTTCTGAAGTCCTTCACACCTATATCTCCCGTGTTTCTCAGCTATTCAGTCTACTTGAGGGTCAGATCCCTTTTGTTTTATTTTGTGAAAAGAGAAAAAAAATGGGTTTGCTTTTGTTCATGTTGTTTTGCCAAAATTTTTTGTTAACTATTCATAGCACAGTGAAAGTCAAGGTCCAAGAATCTTACCTACAACCTCTTTCTTTCACCTTGTCTCTGTAAAGGGCACGGTATATTAAGTTATTATAAAGTTATAGGACTTGTGTACAGCTTAGGAACAAACTGACATGTGTCATGTTTTGGATCATTCACTTCAATTTCATGGACTCAGGGAAAAGATCAACATTTGATGCAGAGCTTCAGAAATTTACCTTTTTGGTTGTTAGGTCTCTCGTTAGCAACTGGCTAAGGAGACAAACGTGCCTGCCCCATACTGGGAAATGCTAGTGCTGCTGTGGATAACCAAAAAATGGTCCAGACAGCTCTGTACTGGATGCAACCTGCTGCTGTAGCTACAGCCCTGTTTCCAGCAACGCATGGTCTTGGCTGCCTGGCAGTAGACAGCAAGGCATGAGAATGGCTTAAATGCCTTGAGCACCCTGAGCCTTCTCTGGGCACTTCCATCTGATATAAATAGAGGCAAATTAAAAAAAAATAAATCAGTTCAATAAAAAGCAACTCGTTTTTACCTAGCTCCTCTTGAATTCAGGCAGGCAGTGTCATATGCTATGCACAGCGCAGAGGTGGAAAAGGATTGAAATTTTTAATGCTCCTCGTTTCTACCACTATTTTTTTCGTCCTGCCTTCGCCATGCACTAGCATGCACCATACTCCAACTGCATGAAGTCATCTCTCCAGGGGCAACATCCTCCCCATTCCCCTGCACCGAGCACCCATCCCTCTGCTTTGTGACAATGGAGCTCTTTCCTCACCATGAAACAAAGTGCTGTGGGAGCATGGAGGAGCAGAAGGCTGCCTGCCTGCGGGTTTAGCTTGCAGCTTTGTAGGTGCCATCTGCACAGGACTGCTGATGGAGCTTCAAAGCACACGGTTGTTGCAGACAGCAACATGCCTTAGGTTAAGCACATTTCCTCAACCTGCCACTGCTTTTCTTGTCATCACTCCTGTCAGTTTAGGCCTTGTCTAGACTAGAAAAATTTAGGAATACAATTAAGTAAAAATACACCTTTTCCTGGTCCATACAAAGGTGTGGGCTGCCAAGCCACCCTCTGGCTTGCTCAGTGCACAAGAGCTGCTTTTCAGGAGAAAACAAGCAACTGGCTTGGTTGACTGGAGCATGGACAGATGGCAATGTTTTTATTTAAAAAAGAAAAGAAAAGAAAAAATATTTAGGCTCAGCTTTGCTTTGTCTGTAGCCAGATAGACTTATTCAGAAAAGACTGTACAGATCTTGGCAAACAGATACTATTCTATATAATTTTTCATTTATTAAAGTGACTAGGTATCTTTTGTGATTAGTCCTGGGAGTTCAGCTTTCCTTACATGATCATTCATTGTGCTGCTTTCTTGGAGACACTCATTAGTGAAAGGGTTGATATAAAACCAGCAGGATGTTCTTTTAATTTATTATATGTGCATTTAGTACTACTGTCTGTGACTAGGGTTCAAAATGTATTATGCTTATCACTGCCAGACCTTAACTGTTCAGGTTAAAATTTTCCATGCTGGGAAGAACGTCAGCTTGAAAACTCAGTAATTTTTGAGAATGTTGGTAGAGAAAAATTGTGAAGACTCTTTTTTATTTTTTTTAAAGGTTTTTGATACTCTTGTGCTTCGAGAGCAGGGACTCAGATTTGGCATGGGAAGAGATCTTTGCATCAGGAGCATGACTTTTGCCATTTCTATGGAAACACAAAATAGATTGGCCAAGTTTTAGGCTTTTGAAAATGTAGCTTCTGGATTGAAGTAACAACTTGCAGATATTCTGAAATGTAGTTTTCCATCTAAAAATGGGGATAATATTTATTCTTTATGTCTAGTTTCCTTTGTCTGTCATCCTAAATGAAACTGTGAGGTCTTTGTGGGATGGATGGTCTCACACCACAAAGTGCCTAGCAGCATAGCGGTACTATGTTAATGCCATATGATAACAAATACTCCTTCCTTAAAAACACCATACTGCAATGCAATAAAATCCTTTTTCAAAAATAGGAATTAAAAATTTAAAAAAAAACAAACCAACTACTTTATCTACATCATTATCCAGAAAAAGTATCTAAATTACTGTTTTCCTTAGGGAATAGTAAATATTCAAGCAACCAACTTCAATCCTTTGAACTAAAATAGAAAAAAAAATTCCATTGTCTTCTGTGATATTTGATCATGCTCAGAAGATTTTTCACTAAACATTCACATCATTGATTAGATAAATAACAAGTACACTGGCAGATAAGCATTGTCTGTAGTTGGGCCAAGCATCTTAGGATATTATATCAGTTCATAATGTATTAGCCAAGAGAATCAAAGATATAACAAAGGCCGAAGTAACTCAACTTCTATTTGGAAAAAAATACCATCGCTTCCCATTCAGCATTGTGGACAAGCCATTAAAACTTTAGGTGTTTCCTTAGCCAAACTTAGGTAAACTTTCCTAAGGAAACTGAGAGTGAGGTGAAACTTTCCCAAGAATGTTTCCAGCCAGGAAAGACCCAGGAGAGCATTCCTGAGCTGAACCACAGCCTTGTCCACTCAAATTTTATCATGAAGGGTGCACTCTGGGGCACCGCAAACTCTGGGACTTCTGTCAGTCAATACGTTAAATAACAACAAACCCCATCATTCTTACCCAACCCCTCAGTAATTCATATGCTGTAATTCCTAGTGACCACCAGTCTACTGGGTATGAGTATCCTGGACTTCCATCCATAAAGGCCTGGAACACTTCTGGAGCTAAAACAATAAATCAAATCAAACAAAAACCATAATATTAAGGTTAGACTATGGATTATCAATGTTGACATCTGAAAAATAAATAAGGAAAAAATTAAATGGAGTTAAATACATTTATAAGTGCAGCATTTTCAGGATGCAATTTCAGTACCTTGGTTTGCTGGCAACAAGTGACCTCCACTGGTCAGAGTTTTTCAAAAGTCAGTAATTTTATATGTTAATTCTTACCTGGTCCATTTAAGTTTTATGTTATGTGAATAAAAATAAGTAATAGGAAGGGAATTCCAGAACTGATGTGTGACTTGGAATATTCAGGGTAATGTAAACATTTTATGGGACAAATATCTTCCAGCAAGGTGATTTTTTGTGATTGATGGAGGCGCTGAACATAGTAAATCTCATTCTTATTCTACATTTGGATAGAATTAATCAGATGGTTTTTAAAGGTATTCAGCATAGGAAAATGGTAACTAAATACAAATCCTGACACTGATTGTGTGCTGTGAGAAACTCTGTCATGACAGGAAATAAACACACTGTCAATAAAGTAATAAAATCCATAAAAATAACTTTGCTGGGGAAAAAAAAAAAATCTTTTCAAAACAAGGATCCAGTTGACTAATTTCAGCAAGAAAAACATACTAAATACTGCCACTTCAGAAAACCGTCTATAAATAGGAGAGGATATGAAATGAAAATGAAAAGTCAGTCATGCTTTTCTAATTATTTCACAGCAGAATCTCAGTACACTTTGTGAAAACAACACTTTCCCTGAGGATTTTCTAAACAACACTATCACCAACCGGAACATCGTGCTAGATTGTAATTACCATGTGAGCCTCATCTGGCCACGCTACTGAGTCTAATGTACCACATTACGACCTGATTACCATCACATCACTTTCTAATGGGCATACTGCAATGAATAATGTAATCTGGTTACACTTCCTTCTGACTGGCAGTTTGATATTTGATCATGTATGGCATTTGGAGAAGCATCTTTAATTAAAGGCATTCCTTTCGGGGGAGTTTTTGCAGTCTTTGCCCTATGGATGGAAACCTAAAAATTTACAGTTCCAAACTTGACTTCAGAAAGTTTTCAAGAGCTAAACCTAACAAAAGATGTTAGCATCCATTAATTAGATACAATAAAACCCTAATCTGTATAATAAAAAACAAGAAACGAATGAAAGTGGTCTTATACTCTTTGCCAGCAGGACCATCTCTAAATACGTTTGGTAGGAGAACTGCAGGCAAGAGTAGGCAAGATTTTTTCTGTTACTTTATTGGATCAGTGCACCTAAATTGCGCATCAGACACCAAAGTCATATTTTGAATATCACCACAGGCACCTTGTAGGGAAGGTTGCTTTATTTAGCCACATTCATTGTGGTTTTTGACCATTGTGCCTAGATGATGTATAATATCTCATTACAGAAAATAGCCTTTGTGGCCTTTTTACTGAGCTATATAGGTATAATATTGGTTTCACTCTTTCTTTTATAGCTTTAACATAGTAATAATGCAATGCACTACTATCCGATTTCTATGAGGTAGAGATGAAAGTATTTTAATGATGGAACCTACAACATTGCCAGAATGTTTTGCTGTTTTGCTATTTCAGTGACTTGAGTTATCCACTCTTATTTTATTTGCTTGTTCTAAAAGCTTGAAGGTCAACTCATCTCACACTAAGCAGATCAGCAGAAAACGCTTTCTTTCATCCACTGGCCCTGGTGTTTTGAAGCTCTGTTTTCTTACCTTAAGCTGATGGCACCCTTAGATCAGAAAATGGGCAGTTAGGCTCCTGTTTTTTAAAGCAGATAGTCCCTTTTCCCTTGCTTTAGCAGTATTATTTGCAGTCCAGCTGGACTGCCTCTCTGCACTCAGCTCCAGTGAAGACGTTGCAAGCATCCACTTTGCAAGAGGAGGAGGACTGACAGAAGGTGAGATATGATTTACAGTATCCTACATATAGGTTTGTTTCTCCGGGCAAAATCTCAACCCTACGAAGGTCAAAACAGACCATTCTTCAGTTTGGCAAGGCTGTTAAACACCAATCTCACACTAAACTTGTGCTTAATGTGTCTAAAAGCCTTTTTGAACTGAGACATTTGTTGCAAACAAAGGCCTTCAGCCTGTACAGCAGACTTTGGAGTTTGCCTGATCATTCAGAAGTGGCATGATTTTGCAGAAAGATAGTAGATCCTCCAAGTGATGGGGTTAGCCAAGGTCTGAAGAACTACAGCTGTGAAATACAGAACATAACATTAGGATATGCTGCAAGAAATAACTATGTCAGGAGAACCAATTCTAAGTGCAAACTGGCTAGGATAAAAGCAAATAAAAAGTCTGGAAGGAAAGTTAAAATTATACATTGATTTTCTTTAGTGTTGTTATTGAAATAGACTATCTGTAATCTTTTTATATTTTAAGTTGATCTCAGGCTCAGCTTGGATAGCCATCCTGCAGCCTGCTGTGGGTAGGTTCTTCCAAAGGATAAGATTTGAGCTTACCAGCTCGAAGCAAGTGCAACAGCTCTGCTGTGTTCATTTTTCTGTACACATCCTCTCTTATCATGAGAGATTTAGGTTGAGAATACTACTTATCTCTTTTAACTCCATACATACACCTAAATGCAAACATTCTTTCTGGAAAATTTCATTCACATGAACAAAAGTGAGAAAGTGCATGTAAGAATGGGAGTTTCAGATATATTTCCTCAGGCAAGTTTTACTGAACAGAGGATTTTCAGCAAAATATGTGGTTTTAATACTGGGTTTGATCCTGCAGATTCTTTTGGCTGAAGGCTGAAGTTACTATCATATACAGTTAGAGTAAAGGCAGTGAAAGTTTGTATGGTAGAAGCATAGCTTTTAAACAGTGAAGCTAAATCAAGTGATAGTAAGTCTAGCAGCAAGAGTGAATTCAAAGACAAATGAAGTGATGCAATCAGTAGGTCTTAGAGGTCTTCAAAACTCTCTGTGAGCAAATATCTTTGACACAATGAAGAACTGCTTTACCTGAGCTGCCCAGAATGACTTCAACAGCAGTAACCTGCTCCAGCCTCACTGCTCACCCTACTTTGAGCAGGAGGTTGTACTAGAGAGTCCTGAGGCCCCTGCTAACATGAATCACCCTACAATCCTGTGATGCTAATGAAGCTCAAGCAACCACCTTCTCACAGCCCTTCTGAGTGGGGTAATGAAGGGGTCTAAGGCCAGAAGTCTCAATGGGATTGTTCTGATTTTCAGCTGAGAGAGAACTAGGTTTCTTTTTAGTAGCTGGAACAGCACTGTGTTTTGGTTTCAGCATGGGATTTGTTATGAGAAAAACATTGATAACACACCAATGTTTTAATTTGTCACTGGAAGTTGAAAGAATTCATGTTTTGCTAGTCTACATGTGCAAGATCTAGGAGGGATAACGAATATTGAAATTAATAAGCTAAATTGCTATTTGGATATGCAAATAGGATATTCCATATCATATAACATCACGTTCAGTATCTTAATGAGGGGGTCTCTCTTTCTTGCTCTCTCCGATTTTCACTCATGCTCTTGCTCTGCTGGGATTGAAGTTTTGGGATCGTCTCTCCTCCAGGTTAGTTAACACTGAGCTAATAGCTGTATTCGGCTGCTAGCCAAGTGCTAGCCAAATGAAACCACTTTTACAGTCTCTTCCTCTTGGCAATCATCATGAACTGTGTGGGCTCTTAATCTTCACTGACACAGCTGGAAAACCTATCACGCAAAGTACCAGGGAGGTTTGAAAGTCTGGATCTCAGAAGCAGTGCAGTATTTCAGCCTGGGTAATTACTCTTCATGTGATCCACCACCTTTCATGGAATCCTTTGGTAACTAAAAAGACAGAGCATTTCAAAATGAATGCCATTTCGAGCTGGGACATCTGTGGTAATTTTAACAGGACAAGCAATAAAATCAGAAGTGTTTCTGTGGCCTGTATGATAATGACTAAGTGGACACATTTAACTTTAGCAGCTCTCCAATCTAAAAATCCTCCAATTCTCTTTTCCTTTTCTATACCTATATTTTTCTCTTAATAATATAATTTCATGCTTTCACTGTTTATCTGCTTTGCTTTCTTGAAAAATGACATAAAATGAGCCCACCTCTGCACTGTATTAAGTGTGCTTCAGTGAATTCCTTGGTTGTTCCTAATATGTATTTCTGGTTAATGCCTTTTTTCCAACTAATAAATGAAAATAAAACCTCTTCAGATTTCTGTCTTTTGATGCTTTTGCACTCTATCTTTCTAGTAATACCATATCATTGCAGACTGTCTCTGTACCAAAAGGAAGATTCCAATGAAGTAAATAAATGGTTATTTTGCTTTAAGGTAAAATCATACTGGATAACAGCTAAGAAAAATTGAACATGAAAACAAATCTAGGGGATTTACATCCATCTCAGAAGCAGTGGCTTCCTGGGATATCTATACTCTTGTTCTGTGGGTTTGGCCACACTCAGAGCTACAAATAATTTTGTGAAATAGAGAGTAATTTCTGACAAATCAATTCATATATATAACTATCCACTGCAATTGTTGCAGCAGTCAGATGATTTATGTTGTAAATCAGGTAGAGGATGCACCTCATATTGTATGCATATTCCCCTAAAGATCTGTAAAATAAATGAATTACAAAACTGAAATTTTACTTAACTGGTGGTACTTAAGGTACTTAATTCTGTACCTTATTTGTGGAGAATTATCAGTATCTATCAGTATGATTCATGAGCTTGAAATAAAAGAGAATAGCAGTGTAAGTTCAAACGACACAACCAAATTTTCACTATTTTTTCCTACTGTAAAAAAGCTTTTTTTTACATATGATAAAATGATTCTAAGTAGGGTTTCTAAAAAATCTGCTGAGTATTCATAAGTATCACTTAACTCCATAGTTAAACTATAAGTGCTCCAGCTCTCTGAAATTCAGGCCATTTTAATTTGCTGCCCAATGGCAGTTTGAAAAGGATGTC